AACCAGAATAGTATTTTCAAGGTGAAGGTTGGCCTGGTGCATTTCTCTTCTTTAAAAGGCACTGCTTAGAATGTAGCAAGTATTTGAGAATGTGGAAGTGTACACTGGAAGCACATTCCATGCACACACACCTTCTCAAGTAGACCAGACCCTAGTAGCTGAGGGAGCCGTTAAGCAGGTCACCATTAAGATTCGGGTTTATTTACACAATGTGTGTCCTCAGATGGATATCCAGGCTTCACGGGCCGCATATTTCCATTGGGGTTTCTTGGTTTTTACAGGTTGGGCAGGTTTCTTTGTGGGGGTAGGGGCACTGCCCTGTGAACCACCAACAGTCAGGTTAGTGGTCTGGGTGCTTCAGTGTGGGTGGTCACGTCACAGAGCAGAGCAAACACCAAGATGTCAGCGTAGGGAGTCACTTGCCCACTCAGTTGAGTCGTGACCCCAGAGGGGCTGTCATTCCCTCTCCCGTTAAGCATGCATTTGGCAGTGCAGACGCTGTTGGTGATTGTTTAGTTGTCCACAAAAAGCAGCACAGAAGGGCCTGCTCTCCCCACCCCCACGGCGTGCCTGGCAGACACCGCAGCTGAGCTCAGTGTAGCTGGGGGGGGGCGGCGGCGGGGGCAGCAGCTCGGTTCTGGGGCCCTGAGGCCGGGGTCAGGGGTGGGGTGAGGGGTGTGCAGGTCCAGTTCAGTCTCGATCCTGATCCCCTCGGTCATGGGAGTTGGCGCCACAGAAGAAGAAACAGAAGATGTCCTCCTCCTCCATTCCAAGATGCCTCTTTTTATCCCTGACGCTCGAGCATCTGGAATCAGTCGGGCACATCTGACAGCTTCAGCTTGTGCCTTAATTGGCAGCATCTCCCTTTTTCACTGGTGTCATCAGTTCGATGAGCTGTATTATTTATTTGAAAGTGTCACCAGTGTGATCTCATGCCACACGTGTTGGCTCGGAAGCCATGGTCTGCTTCTCGCCCTTGGTTGCAGGCATAGGTCAAGGTCCCGGTCCCGGGAGCGTCGCTCTCGGTCGAGAGACCGTGGTCGAGGCGGCGGCGGCGGCGGCGGCGGCGGGGGACGGGAGCGCGACAGGAGGCGGTCGAGAGATCGGGAGAGATCGGGGCGGTTCTGAGCCATGCCGTTTTTACGTATGTCTGCTAGAAAGTGTTGTAGTCGATTGACCAAACCAGTTCATAATGGGAATTTTTTTTAAAAAACAACAAAAAAAAACAAAGATGGGTTTCTGAATAAAATTTGTAGTGATACAGTGTTCTCGTGTACCTTATTTCTGCGGAAAGCGTTTGCTTGGAGTCTTCCTTCCCAGAGCTGCACGGCACCGGTCTTCGCGGTGAGGCTCTAGTCCGTCACGTGCGGTGCAAATGCACCGCGTCGGGGGGAGAATGCCTGCCAGTTACGGGGAGAGCGGTGTGAGGAAAAGTCCAGTCTGGTTTTCTGTGTATAAACAAAGTAATCCAGTGTTCGTCTTCTGAAGCTGCCGCATGGACCGGGGTAGAAGCTGCGGGCTGTGCTGGCATTCACAGAGAGGCCAGTCTTTTGATACAGCGCAGGCGTGGACCTGCCAGTGTTAGGTTTCTCATCCATGAGGTCTCTGGTTTTGCTCCTGGAACCCAAGTGGCTCATGAAACAGGAGCGTGTTCAAGCTGCTCTCCTGTCCTTCTCCATTAACTGGTTGCTGTGTCACAAACCATGAAGACGACAGCAGACACAGGAATGTGTGCAAATCTGCCTCCACAAAACCTTACTGTCTGGTGTCACCTTCCCAAACCGTCTTCATCATGGCGGCCCGGGGCAGTGTGCTGGCGGTGACTTGTGGCCACCACGGCTGCGCCTTGGCTGGGAACAGTTTCTTGTAAGAGGAAGTCTTAGCCAAAGGCAGACCAACACGTGGTCCCAGGTGACCATCACACGACACTGCTGGCATCCGGTTTCGTCACAGCATCTCCAGAGGGAGCTGCCCACTCGCTGCCCTGGTCAGCGCCGCTCGGTCTCCCGTCACCAGTGCTGGGAGCTCGGGGAGTCATGTTCGAGCCCGTTCAACCCAAACTGCACACCTGGTGAGTGGGAGGAAGTGGTACGTATTTGACAAGTCTGTTTCATAAAAGTCAGTTTTTATTTGATAGAACTATAAAAAGTGATTCTAGTGATTGAACTATTAGTTTTGTTCAGGTTTGATGTTGAAATTTTTATATATTTTTTGCAATAGTAGGCAGGTGATTTTAGATAAATTAATGCCACTTTGAGTTGGTGATCTACGAGGTTTTGTTTAAATCGTCTCATTTTCCATACTCCCAAAAAAGTGCCAACACTTCAGATTTTCTACTTAAGTTTGGTCAGAGTTGAGTCACTTCCACTGCATCTGAAGGTGGGAGTGTGGCAAAAATGTGTATTTCTTAACTTTGATTAGAATCACCTATTGTGAACGTCTGTTTAAAACGTAACGGAAAATCCCATCAAAAGTGTCTTGAAAACATTGCCACCGAAGTAAGAAAGAGGAGGTTACCAAGTGTAGGAGAAGGAGTCCCGCCACACCTCAGCGCAGGCCCGGAGTGGGAGGCTGCCGGGGGCAGTTTGTGCCCAGAGGTGCCCCTGGGGCTGCTGCTGGCTCGGACGTGCTCGGACCCCAGTCGGCAAAGAGCAGCTCAGGAGATGAGCCGTGCAGCCCGTGGTCCCGAAAGAAAAGCCACTTGAAATCATTGCAATGTGTAGTGCATTCAGGCCCAAATATCACTGTCTCTTTTCCTGTTATGTGATGTACTTTAAGACTAAAGCCAAGTGGAGAAGAGCTGCTGAAAAAGTCTTTTAAGTGAGGTGCCGACACATTTCATTCAACAGTTGGGTTGAATTATTTCAGTTAGCTCTCTAGACTTTGGCTTGTGACACAGGTGTAACAGGCTTGCCCTGTGCCTGTGCATAGAATAGATAAAACTCGTTTTAAATATTTCAAACGTTAATGACAGGTCACCCGTGCCATGTGAGTTGGAGGAAATTTGCTTCGAGTGAAATCGTATTGGAGAAAAGGTTACTGATGTGGTCTCCGCGGTTCCCGAGCTCAGTGGTCATCACTTCCCCGCTTCTCAGTTCAGGAGTCCTGATTTACCGAAAGGGGATAAAACGGCAAATGATTTCTTTAAAAAAAAATCTGTCCAAAGCACAGAGAACACTGGTATTATAAATGCGCTCCTGGAGCCTTTGTGATGGGAAGTCAGGCGGGTCTTGGCAGTTAGAATGTCACATGGGACCCGCGTGGGACTGACATAATAAGGCGGCGCTTTGTTTTGTCCACTGGTTCCCAGATGTGGGCATTTTCACGGGCCATGAAAATTTCCCCAAAGAAACAATCCCAGTGGTCAGCATGGGGTTCTCAACTTCTGATCTGCCCGAGTGGGACTTTGTAAATGGCTCCCATCAAATTTCACCCATCATTTCATGAAAAACTTTTTTTTTAATGATGAAGAGTTTTAAACATACTCAAAGTAGAGAAATTGTGATGAAGCCCCTGGTGCATACCTCTTGTGCACTTGGGTTGCCCCGGCCACCTAAGGGCCTTCCCACACTGCCACCTCAGGAGAGCACAGCCCCCGAGCAAGCTTAGCCCTGAGCAAGCCCACGGTGCCTTCCTTTTCGGATCTCCTTGGTCCCGGGGTTTGGCAGCACCGTCCGTCAGGCATGTGTTGTATGCCAAAAGTGAGCAAGACAGAATACATGCCTAGTTGGCACTTAGAACATTCTGGCTGGCGTTTCAGGGCAAAACTAAGCCAGGCTCCCCCCTGGGGAGGCGGTCAGGGCAGAAGGAGGCAGCCAGCAGCCTGGGCGCTCCAGGAGCTCAGGTCCAGACAAGCACGCAGGGGAGAGGGCTGGGGCCCGTCCAGGGGAGCAGGGGTTCGGCTCTGAAGGCTTTGAAAGTGGCCACTCAAACTTGCCTGGGAGGTTGAAGTGTCCTTGCCAATCCAGACACCGGCTTGGCCGTGGAACGAAGCAGGAAGAACAGGGACCTTGCTGGAGCAAGCAGGCTTTCCATCCCAGTTAATCCGCATAGCCTGAGGAGCAGGAGGGAGCGGGTCCGGGGAACACTGAGTGTGTTGGTCAGGCTGCCCCGGAGCGAGTTTCAGCAACAGCGATGGAAGGTGTTTGGCTGTGTTGACCCGAAGCAAATAGACTGCAGTTACTTCTCCAGCAAAGACGGGTTTGTTCAGGATCAGCAGAGAACTGCAGTTCGGCCCTGCCACCGTGGTGAGCCCCTAGGCCCCTGTGTACGTCCCCACAGGGCCACCTGACTGAATCGGGGCCCAGCTGCCTGCTCGTCTCACCCCGCACAGGTTTGCACAGCAAACCTCTGGACCTCACGCTGACAGGAAAGACACTTCCCCCGAGACACCCGGCATCTCCCGTCTCATCGACCCAAATTGGTGCCGCTTGTCTCTCCCATCGGGAGATGGACAGCTTCCAAATTCTTCATATGAAGTGAGTATGATCCTGATAAAGCCCCACAGAAACAGGACACACACACACACACCCAGAAGACTGCAGGGGAGCCTCAGCCCTGAACGTGGATGCCAAAGTCCAAACTTCAATATTAGCAGACAGAATACAGCGGCCTGTCAAGATAAATAAGCCAGAGGTAAGTGGGGTTTATTCTGGGGCTTTTACAGACACTTCGTCTGTCCTGCCGAAGCCTTCTCAGGAGACCCCCGGTCCTGTTTGTGTCCTCTCTGTCAGCCAGCTCCGGGGCTGTCATGTTTCTAAAAAGGAGCGGCGTGGTGTGACCACACGATACCTAGAGGCCCGTCGGGCCGCGCACGCCCCCCGGAGGGCTGGCCCGCGCCCGGC